CACGGCTGGGCCGGGCTCCCGTTCGTCTACGACAAAGTCCGGATCGGCGACTCCGACGACCGGGTCGAGCGGTGCCACGCGTTCCTCGAGATCTTCGAGCGGGAGGGCTGCCGGATGGTCGAGATGTCGTGTGCAGAGCACGACGAAACGGCAGCAGAGATCCAGTTCTTGACGCACACCATAGGCAGGGTGCTCGCGAAGCTGGACCTCAAGTCCACGCCCATCAACACCAAAGGTTACGAAACCCTACTAAATCTGGTGCAGAACACCTGCAGCGACAGCTACGAGCTGTACAATGGGCTGTTCATATACAACAAGAACTCCACCGAGCTGATCGAGAAGCTGGACGGCGCCTTGGACGGGATGAAGAAGGAGCTCTTTGATCGCTTGCATGGCATCTTTAGGGAGCAATTGTTCGACAGCTCAGGTAGAAGGCCCATTGACGTGGGCAACTGAATCATGAGGACAGACCGATCGTACCTTCTCATTGGGTGATGGCAGACGACTACCACAACACGTCAAGAGTGCCCACGATCAACTCCGTCAAAATTTAGCTCATGTTCTCTCCACTTTGTGTCATGTACTGTTCACAAAGTTGGATCCACTGTGCTTCTCCTGTAGGCCGTAAACTGCTCTCTAGTGCTCGGCAATAATTCATCCCAAGGATTCGTTGTGCTTGTAACAAATAATAGGTTGGTAACAATAAATAAGCGATGTCAGCTTCTTTATTATTTTTGGGTAGTCTCATCACGTCACCGTTCATGATAGCGAAGAAAAAGCTTGTACTGACTACGTGCAATTTGCCATCATATCCTGTGTAATATTATTTGAAATGGCCTCGATTTACGCATAAAGAAATTTGAACCTATTCCGTGATATTGCAATCAACTCTCGAAAATAATTAGATAGACGCGATTTCGGGTTTATACGAGCAATCAGCTCTCGAAAAGCCAACAACAAGACGGTGACGAAAACAGGTCTCGTTACTGGACCCGAGCAACGTGCAGTGTTACGTCGCAGGATTGCGTGACGTACGACCGATGCCGGGAAAAGTATGGACGAGTGGCTGAGGAGGGGACGCGCATCGCCTTCATCGTGCAGGAGACTGTCGACACTGGTATCGAATAGATCTTATAGATATTTTAATCGTAATCATAAATAAGTCAGTGATTCATTTTCACTTAGACTTCTACTCGATCAAACCATATTAGAATATAATCGAACAATGGCAATCGACAACATGTTTAGGAACCTAATTAATTAATCACAATAATTTGCTGACTTTTAACTATTTGTTTTTGAAAAGATGAAACTAAACTGCATCGTTTGATGCAACAATTAAATAATCTTATTTATTGAAAATTATATATTTATCTTCCAAAGTATGGTTTTGTATTTACTCCTTTAAATTTAAGTTTGGCGTATGTGTGTATCATCTAAACCTTTTGGGAACACACAAAGATTGTCAACTGGTGAATCGGATGACTCATCTTGACTTATATAGATAACAAACGTTGCGGGAAGAATGAAGGAATATGTAGGGAAAAGTAGTTTATCAGGAGTGGCTCGATCTTTGAACAATGAAACTTAGTTGAGAAGCTAGGCAGTCTCCTCTATTGGGTAGCCTTCTAGTCGTGCCATCAAGCTATGTCGATAACCCTATACAACAGGCCTACGCCGAGAATATCCCAGCTTGATCTCTCCGATGCTTAAGTTAGGAAAATGGAGAGGGATGTTAATAATGTAGGTAGGAGAGTGAAGAACTCTTGCTTGCTTGCCTCAGCTTGATTCAGGACTACGCTTTTATCCCTGAACGCAGGGTGGAACAGACAAGTCTCCGTTAAGGTCCCCCCTTAATTTGCATGGCAAAGGCATTCGATGTGGGTGGCTTGCCAGCGTGTGCCCCCAGGAACGACGCTTGGGGACTATCAAGGTGAGGACTTTGGTCTGTCTTCCTTGCTTCTATAGGTCAGGCAAGGCATGGTCCCTTTATCGTCCATCCAAAAGAGAAGGTTGGTGAGGTCGGGTTATGCCATCGACCATTAATGTAAAGTCAGATTCTTTTTTCCAACTACGGAATCGATGAGGAGTGCATCTTGCGGGCCCATTTCGAGAAGCCAGGGTAGGCGACATGACCTCTTGTTGGTGACCGTAGGAGTAATGTTTCCCGAGCTTTTGCTTAGATGTTGCTTACGGGGATCTAGGGGGTGCTAGGATTATCCCTATCACCTCTAAACTTAGATATATCAGTTTTAGTTAATCTCTGTTACCTACTCTAAGTTAATTTAATTGGTTGGACATTTAATTTTCATCAATCTCGATTAAAACTAAATGGTACATAAAGTATTTAAGGAATTTATATGTTTCATATTTTTATGTTTTTAGCTCGAAGACAACAATACTAATGATAATTACAAGTGGCTAACATGCTTTAGAAGAAGATTATGACATATATGGTTATACGCTATATTTATCTCCAATATTAATATTTATGATGTCATAATTTTATTAAGTACATCAATAAGTTAGTGGTGTTGTATTATGCTCCTTTATAGGATTCAAAACCTTATTTAATGTATTTTTATTTTTTTTAATATTGAATATTATTTAAAAAATATTCAATAATAGATTCAAAATCTTTTAGTCCCTATATGATTAATAAACAATTAAACAATGACAATATATGACAAGAATTATGGCTGTAGTGAATAATAAACGCAGTGAATCATTGAGATTTATTTTGACTCTGTTCCCTTTTATCCTTCTTTTTTTAGCATTTCACCTATAATTGACTAATCGGTCAATTTTTTTATCATTTCTCCAATCAATACTATCTATAACTCGACAAATAGGATTGATCTCTGATCAAATATAATTGAAGACGGACGTGGAAATCATAGGACGAGTACCATTCGCTGTTTCTTGGGTTTCCTCGCATAACTCAAGTCAGAAAGGGGTGCGTATATGCTAACTATTTGGAGACGTTCGACTGGATTAACATGGAATACTCTTCTAATACGCTAATTCCAATGGCATTTTTCACCATTTTATCTAAGAAAGCCTTCGATGTAGGTTTTTACTAATTGACACCTCATAATTGATTTTTTTTATCTTAAGATGCTGTTGTTGTTAATTTGATGAAAATACCCCTTCTCTCCACCAACAGTCTCATACTATCATTATCGCCACCGTCGACTGTCGTCGCCTCCGTTGTCTCGTGCTCCCACGGTCGAGAGGCTCTTTTAGATAAAATGTCCTTAATTGATCGATGAGGCAGATCAGAGGGTGAGGAATTCAAGGATTACAAGATTTGGTAATCTTAGCTTATGGGCTCATGTTCTACCTACAAACAGAGCTACCCATTTGGTGCAAGCCTCCGAACACGAGTCTTCCTCAAACATTAATTTTGGTTCCACAACATGAGATGAAACTAAAGTTTTTGTTCCCTTTTATTATTAAAAATATTATAGGAAGTTGGATTAGCACGATAGTCTCAAGTCGTTAAAGATTAAAAGGATTAGATTGTATTGATTGAGTTCGAACCACAACTTTAAGTATCTAAGTCAAGTCGGTGCCTGGTTTAACATGATATAAATAAATAGATATTATGTGAGATGACAAAGGAAACATTTGATGGGCAAAGAGTAAGGGAGACTTAACGGACTTATGAGCCCTCTCTTGGTTCCGTGCGGAGTACGTCCATCGTCCAAAACGGATAATTCATCGTGAGTTTATAGGCTGTACCAATAGTCGACTGATCAAATAGTTCCTTACTAGATTAGTGCTAGAACGAGGGCTCTATCTTGATCGAGTAAACTCGCTCCTGAATCGTGCACCTTGGTTATGAGTTCTAAGACCATTTAGTCCCATATTGATTGAAGAGTTATGAACAAACTCGCTCATAAGTCCGCGCCTGTGGGCTACACTTATGATGACCAAATGATCCCTTATCATCATATTTTGAAAGGCCTGCAACCATTAAAAGATTGGATGCGATTGGGAAAAGAAATGTGAGACTACTCTTTGATTAGAACATGTTAGAGTGGATTATTTTCCAAAGTGCAGACCGAGCTGCTATCACCAAATGATAGGTGTATGACATGGGTGAGGACAGTCCAACATGCGTCCCTGTTTGCTTGCTCCTCCTTTATAGTGAATGTTAGCCCACCGCTTGTTCTGATGGTAGAGTTGGGGCTTGCAGAGTGACATGCACTTTTGATATCACAACTGTCTGTCTTGCGGTGCAGAACCTGGAGAGAGCATACTAAGAGGTGGTGGTGGTGGTGGTGGTTTCTTTACAGCACTTGGCCAACCAGATGAATGGCTTACGATGGCTTTTGGATGCTGCATTCCCAACTTGGAGTAGCACAAGGGGATGGAAAGCCAACTAGCATTCATCTCCTTCAGTTCCTACTTCTGATGGTCCACATACATGAGCAACATCTCACGACAAAGCTAAGGAAGTGGGCACTTGCACTCTGTTGTTGATTTCCACCCATTTCAATAGGGATTTAAGTAAAAGATTGTGATTTTTTTTAAAAAAATATTTTATGATTTCTTAAGATATTTTTAATATTTTCACTATGGTATTTAATACATCTGGTCTTTTATTTTTCAGTATAATATATCTTTTATAAAAGTATGTCTTAAAAATATTAAGGTAACAAATATTAGTTCTTTTACGATAATTAAATTATTTTTATTCGATGAATATGATCTTATCCATTAAATTCTGCACTACCTTTAACCATCTTTATCTGCCGGCCTTCGTGGAACCCATAGTCAAAAGCCGTTACATCCGCCGTAATAGCCGTTCCAGAAGATTCCTTCGCCGTTAAAACCAACGTTTCATACCCCTCGCATCCCCTATGGCTGTTACATCCGCCACAACAGCTGTTCCATAAGATTCCTTCGCCGTTAAAAGCCTAACCCATGCCGCTGCCCTCTGTTAGTCCCAACTCGCCTCCGCTACCTTTCGTACCCCTCGCCTCCGCTACAAATACCATGCCGAGCGCCTCCATGGGGTTTGCCAAATTAGCTAGTCGGCGCCCCAATACGTCGAGAACCCTAATGGCGTGCTCTTCTAGAAGATCCAACTCCGCCGTTCCACCGGTTTCGAGGCCCCTCCTACGATCCGCATCTCCCGCTGCGGTTGCAGGCGCCGCCCCCTTCTCTTCCTCCTACCGCTCCTCTGCCTCTTCTCCCTTCGCTTCCTCTTCCTCCGCCAACTCGTCCACCTTCTTCCATCACCGCTCCGCCTCGCCTACCCGCGTCTACCTCGTCGGATCCACGCCTTCCCCCAGAACCCCGTCCGTCCACTTCTCCCTCGATCGATCTACTTCCCCAGGCCGTTCCCTCGCCGTCGTCGACCGGCGCCGTCCCGCCTCCGCCTCGGCCGCCGCACCTGCCCGTCGCACCTGCATGTGCTCTCCCACCACCCACCCCGGCTCCTTCCGCTGCAGCCTCCACAAGGGCCTCCGCTTTCCCCCTCACCACAACCAACACGCCGCTTCTTCGTCGCCGTCGAACCGCCTCAACGCCCGCCGTTCCGCGATGACCAACTCGCTGGTCCGAATCGGAGCCGTGGAGGGCGAGTGGGTGAAGCGCGCTCTTGCCTCCCTCATCCGTCCGTCCTCGCACCAGCAGCGCCGGCGGGCCGACTTCCGTCCGCGTCTCAGTCGCCTCTCCGTCATGTCCAGGGCCGACGATGTCTAGATCTCCGCCGTCTCATCCGCCGATCTCGAAGCAGGTTTGTTCGAAGATAATAAAAAAAAATCAGTGCTGCTGTTATTCGCTTGCAGCCATCAGACTCCGATCGAAAGCTCGATCGGCGTTCGGTTTTTTTTTTTTTCGAATTTTTGGACATGAAGAAAGCACTGGGACGAAGATGAGATCACGTCCGGCCATGTACAGAATCAATTTTGATGCGAAAAACTGCTGAACGGAGAACTGAGAACAACACCAACGACAGTACAGAAACAGATGAAATCGATGTCACAAATTTATGAATCTGTTGAAACGAAACCATTAACACAACCAATTAATATGATTTGTTTGCGCCTTTATTGGCGTGAAGTGTGTTGACGTGGTTACACATTCTCCCTGCAGCAAGGTTTTGCGTTGCGTTGCCAACTCCACTTGCGTTCGTCGGTTTCTTCCCCGTCGTGCGTTCTGTTGCCAACCCATTCGCTTTCCGTGGGGGTGAAGTATTTTCATTTTATTCGTTTAATTTATTTGGTATTCGTCCATCTTATGTATATAATATATTATATATATATATATGGTTGTGTTGGAATTTGATTTGTTGGACTGATGCTTTCTGTCGTTGCAGGAATGGCGGTCGCTTGGAGTGCACGAAACTTTTGTCGACTTCCGGAATAAGTCTCAAAAGAATCAAATAAAGGAGAAGGGGAAACGTCCCTGGAAACTAATCAAATTGGGGAGTGGGCCAACTGCGATGGGGAGAAACGCACTGTCGACAGCTGTACGCCAACTCAACTTCTAAAAACAAAGAATTATTAACCATTTTCTTGAAATAATAATCCATGAATTAAGATGACAAGATATTTGAAAATGTAAAAAATATCAGCCAATTACTAAAACCTAAAAAATGTTCGTAACAATGCTATGAAACCCCCCTAATTATGATGAAATTCAAATCTGATGTATAATTTAATTCGGTCTAAAAATTTAGAGATCAAAATATCTTAAACCAAAATGAGGGATGTGTACAGCTGTGGCCAAAGATTCCAAGGAATATTTAATTAATAAGATTGAGATTGATGTGATCAAAAACCAGTGGATGAGATCAAATTGGACACACATCCCTTTCTAATTCCTCATCCACAGGAGTCAATTTCTTTCTCTGACACTGCACGAAAATAAATGAATAAACACACGGCCCATATCATCAGTGGATGAGATCACATCTCTTGTTTTCCCTAACAGTATTATATAATTATTGTCTTCAAATTTCAATGGAGGACTCTCGTTTTCTCTCTCTGCCATATAATACATTGTTATTGTCTTTATACATCTATTGAGAACATTTGCCAATGAAAGGGTAGTGAGCGTTGACAGCGGCCGTTTTCTTAGACTCTCTCACTGAAAGTAATTTACATGGAAATTGCGTAAGTCAGACATTAAATCACTTTCATGGTTTAGCCATTCATAGAGGTTTTCACGTCAAGTTATACTTAGCATTATATCATTGGACTCTTACGATTGATGGCTATATATATTTTTTGGTAAGTTGATTGATGGCTATATGCCATTACTTTCACTTATATCTCAATTTTTATCTCACACATAATAATTTTTTATAAAAGTTATTTGAAGCAAAATCGAGTTTTTTTTTTATAATCCGAATGAAGAATTAACAGATATATTTCGGTGGAAATTAAAATTGTAAGAAAACCCTGACTAAGGATTAAATTTCATTATAGAAGATTTTGCATGACTTCATAGACCCTCAATGATTTTTCATGTTTTCGTAATCCCTAAAAGATTTTGCATCTTCAAAAAAAAATAATTCGAGTCTTTTGCGACACTATACCAAATTATTGATCTCATAGACCCTTAAGCTATAACTCAGAACTAAAATTTCCACTATGTGGTTTCAATTTCCATAACAAATAGCAAATTCTATTGGTAATGAGGATCTTTAGAGACAAAGAACATGTAGAAGCAAGCATCATGGTAAAACTAACCATATCAACCTCAAAAATTGTAAGTCATAGTAGATATTTATTTTTTATGATAAGATTTTGCACCCTTAAAATAAATGAGATAAATACACCATTATCATATTAATGAATTTTTTTTGGGTCCAAATCAAGTTTGAAACTAGTTTTGTTTTTTCTTTTAATCTTCTTGATATTAGTTTATAGGAAGACTTTCTATTTGATCACATAATCTCTGAATCTGGTCTTAATCGATCTAACAATATGTATCTTTTATCTTTGTAAAATATAAGATCTAAGCAGCATGGTTAGCTGCTCTTATTTAATTCTTCATTTAGCACACCTTTCTTGACAATCTGTGTGGCTTGTGGAGTTCTCTGCCCAAACCCAGCAAGAAAGAGAAGAAAGCAGGACACCCTTTCTGAAGCTTGGTGGGCAACAAGAAAACTAGATGGAGACAGCAATGTGAAACAAGTCAACTCGCCATGGCACAGGCTGCACTTAAACAATTAGTCAACCATCTTCTTCCAGTTGAGAGATCCCACTAAAAAACCACCACTAGAGTACTGTCCCCAGCTGCGACCAGTATTTGTCGCCTTCATGCTCGAGTCTGGATAACTCATCACCATGAGAACCCTCCAAGAAACCAGGCAAAACCACTAGATTCTTCTTCACCGCTGATGGTCAATATTCATTGCGAGAATCACATGCAAATATAATTCATTCTCAAATAATAATAATATATTACTAATCAAAGATCAAATCAAATAAAAGATTAAAAAAATTATAAATCTTGAATGTCTCTTAGATTTGATTTAAATACTTGAGACTTGGATTGATCTACATGTCACCTATTTATATATGTAACGTAAAAGAGTATCTGATTTTTACAACTCAATCTAATTTTATTTTAAAAAAAAATTAAAATATATTTTAAACTAAGAACTATTTATCCCTAAAATTATATCTAATCTCATTTAAAATATAAAATATTAATTTAAGATATTTTAAAATATATTTTAGCATCTTAACAGATTCTGCTTCCAGCACATAAGAGTTATTTCTTGGTGTTATTTCACACTCAGTCTTTTCATATTTATTAGGAGCTAATCTAATACATACAGAAAGATGCATGGAATGACATTCTGTACATGGAAGAAGAATCACACAAAGGGGATATTAAAGTACCAATCCACCATTTGTTCCAACACAGTTATATCCCTATAATTAAGTTACTAATACAAAGACCTCAAAACAGAAAAGCTATGAATGATCAAACAGCTCCCCCCATACTTGACCGTTAATTTGCATTCATCACCCGAAACCTCGACGGCTAAGTTACGTAGGCAAGCTAAACATGTCATATGAGTGTTTCTTAGGTGAGCATCGATTACTTTTTGTGTCCATAGACATACATAACAAAGAGGACGAACGCCGCCTACATCTTGCCAAAGGAGTAGAATGAATCGGAGATGTGTCACTTGGGACCCTTTCTTTGTTGGCAGAGAAAGACTAATGCCTAATCCTTTCGTCCTTTGTAAAGATGCTGCTGTTTTCTACGGTTCGCATATAATAAATAAATCAAAAATAATTTCAAGTGGATGAAAATTAAGGAAAAGTCTTAGACGTTAAAAAGAGATAACCTGTAAGGATAAAGTACGAACAGTTGTAATAGAAATTTGAGGCCACTGCAAACGTCGCCATTAATCCTTTGAATTGTCCATACGGAGAGGTGGTGGGAGACGAAAGGTATCAGATATGTGAGAGGGGACTATGTCGAGTTATTGGACGTCTCTCAACATCTTGAGCTTGTGATGAAGGCCCGGCAAAGCCACGTGTGAAGGAAAGCAGACGCCCTTTGGTAGCATCGAAAGCAACAAGATGGATGAACGTCGTCTCACCACTGGAGAGGTCGGCAATGGATTCATGACCTCTGGTCCTAGCAATACTCATCATGGGTCCCTTCGTAATCCTAATCCATTTAGAATCATCGTCTAATCCAATCCAAGCAAACCATTCATGTCTAGTTTCTTTAACTTGTTGTTGTTGCCATAATTGATTCCACAAAACTATATATATATATTACGAATCTCTTATGTACATTTCTATTATATAATGCAAGTGATAAAGATAATTTTTTTCTTTCAGATATCGGATGTTGACCCTAATATGAAATAAATAAAGTCCACCGAATATAAGATAAAATATAATATCAGTGAAGTCCAATCATTCTTCTACGTCTCATACACCTAAAACATTAGTATGATATATTAGATCTATTTATCATGGGGGTTGAAGTTTTATTTGATATATTTTTATATTTAAAATAATAGTATATCAAATTTGGTAAAAAATATATTAACGATCAATCATCATCCGACACATAAGCATCACGTAAAAATCATTGTGAAAGAAAAATATTCAAGTCAATCTTCATCCGTTTGTTCGTATGGACAAAAATCCAAAGTAAGCCATTTATGGTTGTCTCCCCTCTATCACCCACATGGACAAAACATCATGAGAGGGATATTGGAGTAGTTACAGGGTATCCCTTCCAAGAAAAGATATAAAAGCATATCCTTGACGTTGCACCGAGGGGCTCTCTTCCCGAAAAAATCATACACCCACTAAGAGACTTTAGTCACTAACTTGAGCGTCAAAGGGACCAAGTCATAAAATTTCTCCCAACATCGATTTTGGTGTAGGTACCTCCTTGGAGCCATTACGAACACTCCTACACCTTCAGGTTTGGACCATATCTAGTTAACTCTTATGTCGATGATAATTTCTCGTAACATTTGGCACCAAAAGGGGGATCTAATATCATAAGAATGTCCACCCTTCAATCCCCCCAACAAATGCTCTAGCGAGGAGGCCCTGTCTCCAACCCACAACACTTTTACTCAAGGGGGATAGTTGAAAAGCAATGTCAAAGAGTTGAGAAGCAACTTAAGCGAGTCGCGCCAATGCTATCTAACAATAATCTCCCTACCAAAGAGGGTCCGGCTCGAGGCATCATCGATCGACCCCTAGAATTTCACCAAGTCTCTCCAACGTCCGGAGCAAATGAAGTCACTAATTGAGGCACCCTTGGATAACGCTCACCATAGCGAGAAGAGAATCTGAAGTGTGGTATTTGAGGAAGGACTCGAGGCTCACCACAATGGTAAAAGAATTCAAAATCCACCATAGTAAGAGAAAGACTCGAAATCATTCCAAATATTATAAAACAAGTTTTAATGATACCTTCTAACTTAGATGGTTTTCATATTCAGTGATAAAATATTATATGAATTAGTTGGTTTTGATGATACAACTAGATTGCAAGTTCCAAATATTATCTGACAAGTTTTGATGATAGCAACCAAAGATCAAATATTATCATCATCCCTTAACATTTGGAAAAACAAAAATAAAAACGTGGCCCATAAATTGTAGCAAAGAGGGATTCGTATTGCGAGTCTCGTCCGATCAGATGTCCGCATCAACGCAACCTGCATTCTCCCCTATTTTCCAAGCTACTCATCGGCGAATGAACTTTGCATGAAGCTTGACCGGTCGTTGGAGATTACGTGTTTCGAGTGAGTGATTGAGTTGTGGACATCATGCATGGCTAAAAGCATTTTGATTCCCAAAAGACAGCACTATCAAGCGGCTCGGAAGTTTATTTCATGATAGTTATCCGAGTGGAGAAGATGGAAAGATATATTTCTCACAGCATTAAAGGAATATTTTTGGTATCCAAGCCTTATAGTCGATCACGACAGAAAACACAAAGTTAAGCTACGGTAAAGTTCTCTACACTACTTAACATTGGAATCAGACTAACTAGATGTGAAAAATGTTCCCTTTCATAGATCAGTTGAGACGTTGAATGCACATAGTAATTCACATAAAAATGAGCCAATTCCGGCATGATAGCACTACGACCAAATGTTTCTACACTATCTTGCCTCTTGGAAATGCAACATTAAATCAATACCATCCAAGATCTACATTCATGCATAACAAGAAAGTATCAGCTTTCCTTAGCATCAGCACTCTAAAAATGAGTCAAACTAAAATGATAGCTGAAAAGTTGCCTCATAATCGACATGAACTTTTCATCCCCTATGCATTTAATTACAACACTCTAACTCGGATGAGAAAGTTCACTTATAGCATGAACTTACGGCACCTTTTCTTGCAGAGGCAGATGTGGCCTACCTGTCTCCACAAGGAACTGCTTGTTGTAAGTGCGATGGCGCCTTTCCCTAGCATATATCACCCAGAATATTAAGGACAGCATCACTGCACCCGAAACCATAACCAGACCAATGTAGACCCGTTTGCTGTTCTGTTCAAGACCAGGGCAATTGTTCCCATGTATCGCAGTAAAGGTTTCGCGGACAAAACTGCAGTCTTCTAGCTGAGTAAGGAATGGCACATAATAGTATAATCCTCGGCTCACAGTTACAGCCGCAGTCATTTGGCTATAGATACTGGGAGTAACACGTCCGATGGTTGTACATATCTCAGACCCAGAGACAACAGCACTCCGGCAAACATAACCTTTCCATACCTGCATTGTAAATGAAAGAGTTTATATACCGAAGAAAAATGCATGCTGCTGGATGATACGGCTCCATGATGATTGTTATTTTACCTGTGATGCATTGTTGAAGTCCACCTCTCCAGGGGTGCACGTGCGGTTATTCAAGTCAGGTGTGTATGGGTTGCAGAGAGTAGGCATCAATGGGCCAGATTGATTATAATACAAAGGCACCAAAGCAGGAGGGAAGTTCCCATTGGAAACATTGACTATCACCTGATTGACAACACTAACCAGCTGGAAGGTAACTTCCCTGCTTCGATACAATGACTCATTGGCAGTGGCAACATCAACACACGGAAGAATATCATCTAGAGCTGTATGTGCATGAGGGTGGTCGACCCATTCATTCATTGCAACACATGTGTCCGCCACCACACTGGTAAAATTAATAAGAGTGAGGCAGTTAGGTGCTTAGCAAGTAAACATAGCAAGCATAATAGATGATGAGGATAGTCCAGAATTTGTACGTATACTTGGTGACCCATAAGAACGTTAAACACATTTCTAGTCTTGGTTTCACAGATACAATTTCAGTAGCTACAATCTTGAAATCTATGATGTGCTTTATACTTCCTGATCCTGATCCCATTTCAACTGATAGAGTCCTGAAATCTAAGGATGGTTGTAATGCATCTCACTGTGCCCATGTTGTATATTGCCAATCTAGAAATCCCTCTACATGCAGTTTGTTTCCTAATTTAGTTCAAAATTTTTGTTTTTCTGATACCGGTCAACGGCTGAACCATTAGGAACTAATATGGACCAAAGTACTGCACAGGACAAATTGGTACCTTCCGAACCAGAGAGAAAGAGGGAAAAAAGAGGAGATGCTGCTGCTGGTGCTGCTGCTGGTGCTGGTAGAGGTGGAGGGAGCTCAGTAGGAGAAACAGGCATAACAATAGTAAGCAAAGGAGGTGATGGTAACCCTTACAAGGAGGAAATGATGACGACACGGCAACGCGAAGGGTGAGAGCAGCGAGGTGGCAGGCAGGAGGAAGAGGTGGAGGGGAGAGAAGTAGAGGAGAGAATGAAAGAAAAAGGAACAAACGACTGTCAAAAGCTATAAATTTTTTTTAAAAAGTGACAAGGATACCAGGCGATATGCTTACCAACCAATACTTACAGTTTTAATAATTAATACCAAATGGCACACTTAGACTTAGTAAGGTAATCAAACCATGCAAAGTCCGTATGAACCAAAACCAAGTAAAAAATGGTGGTTTGCATGTTGGTTCATGATCATACTAGCAAATACTGACTCATACCGGCTGCTACGGTCAATAATTTTGGATCATGCCTTAAGCATCACTAATTTTTAATTCAAATAAAAAATCATCCCAAAAAATTGATAAAAAAAAAGGAATCCAGCATGGTCCCAGTCCGCTCAGTCATGCTCAATTATAATTCTTAACTCTCGTAGAAGCGTACTATTGGTTTTTTTCTACAATTTGTATCAAAGCTTGTGGTTCAGCTAAAAGCCCAAAGTACTAAAAGACCTAAATCATGTGCACCCGTCTTTAATGAGTACTATTGCACAAAGATCTAATGGTGTATTGACATAAATGAGTTCTACATATGGATGGATGACCTTAAGTATTCTTTTGATAGATACAGAGTATCTTCATATATGTGAGCTGCTCATCTTAAGAGAACACCCAAAAGGTAAAGCAGAATAGTGGTCTTGTAAAGCAAGTAAGATACCAAGGTGAATCTTAACCAAAAGAATGAGAGGAGTCTAAATACTACTTTAAAGCCAGTCATGGCTGGTCTTAAGAGAAGATAGAACTCAAACAAAGCATTGCATATCGGAGTCAAGAATCCAATTGCACTGTAGAAGCAAGTTTTCAGAATTTCACTTACCAATACTAAACATAAATAGAATCAAAGACCAAAAGAGAATTTAAAATGACTGATGCATCATGATTTTTGTTCTTGTTGAGAACCACAATGTAGGACAAGGAAGAAGAAAGAAGTGTGGAGGAGAAGAAGAGAAGAGTCTCTCCCTCTCACCCCATGATCCCTTCTCCAACGTGACATCCATTTCTTAAGAAAGGAAAAAAAGAGAAGGAAGAAGAGAACTATCATTAAGTCCTCCACTTCCTTGTTTTTTTATTATTTATCTTCTTTTTTTCAATTTTATTTTTACTATTATACCAAGTGTATAGGCCAATATCCCACTTGATATCTCAATATCATACAAATCCATTAGGTTGTTGAAACCAATATTGAACAGGTATTTGAAACCAGAGTTGCAGACTCAAGGAGATTCTCGGAACAACATGACCAAAAAGACAAGAGATGTAAAATGATATTTATATATAACCCACAAATGGAGCTAAAACCGTATTCAATCAAAATAAAGAAGACTTTGGAGTAAAAGAATCATTTAAATACTAAGAAATTTTCATGGAAGATATTTGCTATTAGAAGATGAAAGTTTATGATGAATCTAGTCACCTATAAAAGAATCTTCTCACAAAGAGATTTTCAACATGGACATGTTAAATTAAAGGAAAAAAGTGGGCTAAAGTATCATGCCTTTAATACTAACAAATATGAAGAATTTCAGACTTATCAAAAAAAAAAAAAAGAATTTCAGCTTCAATCATGTCCTAGGTTTTGTTGAATCGACTTAATTACGCTATTATCAGCTTCACTTCGAGGACATATTATTTTTTTATTTTCATGGATCATTCTTATGTTTAGTTATATTAGGGAATAGTGCAAGTCGTATTTTCCAATCGATTATTGTTTCCCTGTCTTACTATATGTATAAATTGACTTGGCAAACACCTAAAGCCACAAGGATTAAGATTTAAAAGGTATGAGAATCTATTTATAGACAAAATTTTAGACAGTTATGACATTTACCATTTAAAAAGTCTTCTTAATCAAGGAGTCTTCTAGGCTTAAGTAAAAAAAAATAGCTTTATGTTACTAATACATTTGATGGTTATTATAACAATTAATATAAGAAGGTTGTCTTCTTTGTGTATGGCATGAGGCAATGAATTTGCTTAAGTGCATGAAGCACAACAATGTGGAGTCAATGAGCAGAGTGAGTATGTGCTATCCCTCTTTTCACTTTCTCTTTATTTTAATTTTCTTTTACGAAACTAGAAAGATTGCAACAAGATCCATGCTGCACTACTACATCTCCATTGCCCATACTGCCGTACTGTCACGACCTTAGCTGGAATTGCCTAAGGCGTGATGCACCCTTGCGGCCAAGGACGCGAACTTAGCTTGCGTTGCCTAAGTCGCGAGTCACCCTCGTTGCGAAGACGCGAACTTAGCTTGCGTTGCCTAAGTCACGCTTCGCCCTTGCGATCTTGCTCCGCAAGGATCAACCACTTTGTAACCTCTCGCAGGTCCCGAAGGACCTGTAAAAGAGAAAGAA